CTGTCATTGTCATGTTGACGTGTTTTTAATATAAACTGCCGGGCGGCAAGATGTCGATATTCAGGTCTGACTGGACGGTATTTTTTCATCCTCTTGTACCAAATGTTGCCTCTGCTGTCCTTGGCTTTACATACACGCCGAGTCGACGTGTTTATAATACAATTGCCGGTTCGGCAAGATCTCGTGTTCAGGTCTGATTTCGGTGTTTTTCGACCTTTATTAATCCTTTATATATTTTGCCGCTTCGGCGAGATCTTTCAGTGTGACAGATAGCCCTTGGTCCAGGCATTGTTGAAGAAGATAGGGTTGATTATTTCCCTGTCATTGAGGCTGTGCGAAGTCCCGCCATATTCCTGTACTTGACGGTTGTGTATATTATTAAACGCCGTGCACAAGGTCACATTTCGTTCGACATTTTTTCGTCTTATAACACCCATTGTGTGATGAAAAAACCCCTACATGGCGAGAAAACTTGACAAATACTATGTTAGAAACAATACCTCGTGTATTTTAAGGCAGAAACGTAAAATATACTTACATATTTTGTTCCCGCTAAAGAAAGCATGTGAACATTCTCGATCATTGCTTGCAATTGAACATTCGATCTGCGTGCGCATATCTCACATGACTCCTTAGTGACGTAGTCCAATGACGAAATAGAATTATCGTTAGACGATAACGATTTTACTAAAATCGCCCACCCGAGCGATTTTTTTTCAGTCGGACGGTAACGATAATTTTTTGACCAATCAGCGCGCGTATACAAGTTATCGTATCGTAACCGTTGTGTAGTGTGACCTGGCCTTTATTACTATAAGATATTTGTTGATGTCATTTACCTGGCAAATATGCGTGTAATCAAACATTAGTTCAGGCAGGCCGTAATCCTTCCAAGTATCCAATTTCAATTTCCAACCTGCGAACGAGCAATTACTTTGCCTCATGAGATTAGGAAATTTGTTATGGCCTGCAGAGGAAGTATTAATTTGGCCGCTATAGCAGTCACTAGGTAATTAGTAATATGGATTTACTAGGGATTCTTGAAGGCAAAATAATTAAGGGGTTGATTCCTAAACAAAGAAATTTGAATTCATATTATTAGTTTAAAAGTGCACTTGTGATTATAAATTCTAATAATTCCGTTTTTACATTTTGTTAAATAGTCCCGGCCTTTGAAAGTCAGTCAGAAGCAAGATGTGAATGGCAACAGTCCAATACCACCACCTCCTAAGTCAACAAAAGTACTCGCAAGTGATGTCCAAAATAAGAATCAGCAAACAGAAGAAATACTCAATTCTATTTTACCGCCAAGGTAATTATTAATGAGACCCTTTTATCTTCTGCATGCATGGACCCAAGCGAGACTTTCTGTACAGGGAGTCTAAAAAAAAAGTGACCCTTTAGAAATCACCCTTTTGTTGTAAACACCGAAACTTTATTATCTCTACATGAATGCATTGGTTGTTTACCATTTACATGGAAAACCCATCCGGTTTGAAATTGTGCTAATGCGGGTAAGCAAAGCCCGGGTAGCTCGAAGCAACAGGGCTGCAATTTCAACCCGGTTACCCGGGCTGAAATTCTTGCCATGTAATCGCGCGCGGGATTTTATTGGGATTTATCGTTGAATTTTCAGCCCGGGTAGCCTGGCTGAAATCGCTAAGTTATTGCATGCATGCATGCAGTGGCAGACACATCGCAGAATATCGTATAATACTATCATATTAGTGTACTTGTTGCTGTAAATTTCAGTTCCTTATATTAGTAGTCGCCATATGCTATCGGCAACAGGTTTAGAGTGGACGGTCCACTTTTCCTGCGAACAGGCTCTTTGGTTAAGATAGCCCGCCGCCGCCCGCGTGTCGGGTTGAATCTATGAAAGTTTCGGAAATAATATACAGATAATACGATATTAAAACGGTTTGATTTCGAGCTTCGAAGAAAGTTTCTCCAGTAAGGTAGCTGTTTTGAGTTCATAGAGTATATAGTAAGCCTTTTTGAGAGTATGTACAGTCTCGTGTATTCAATTGGCGAGATGCCGAGGGAAATAATAAGTACTTTTAATATATTGTATTTCACTCATATTCTGAGTCATTCACTGACAATGACTATATTGTATTTTGCTTTATAGCGTGTATTCAGTATCAGAATGTATTAAGTCGGTGAGAATATATATTTTACTTATAAAGCTTAATATATGTTTGATCTTGTTCGACTCCATATTTGATATAAATTGAGATCATAAAATTTAAAGACCATGTCAAGTCCGTAATGTAAACAAATCCTTTGTTTACATTTTGAACTGCTATATTTGTAAAATAAGACATACTAACTGAATATCTAATACTTTTCTGGTTCGCAATTGTAAATGAATATAAACTAGAGTACGTTTCAATTCAAAAAAGTTCGAAAGTTGAATTGATATATTATTTACTTTTATATAATAACTACAGTGAAACACGCAATTTGATTGGTCAACAGCCGTGCAGGATCAGACAATCCTGTACGGGAAATTCTGAACAGAAATTCTTGCACATAATTTTACAAATATACTCGCATAGTAAAGTTTCATTGTACGATACCTTTCGACTTTGAAGTAAGTTTCCAATTATTGAGACGTTGGTTTAGTTGTATGAATAAATTTCTGATCGATACATTGCTATTCAGCAAGTAGCAACGCGTAAGCGTTGAAATTCATCAGACCATGGCATGCAAGTACAACATCTCTCGCTTCAAAGTTGATCAAACGCTTCGCAATCTTCACATATTCAGGCCGAGAATCTTCAAAACTACTTTGGCTCTCTGTTTAGCGGGTTTTCCATTTCAAATTTCGTATATTTTATCGAAAATGTCCCTGTATTTTCGCTGTATATTTTCGCGAATTTGCGATCAAATTCTGTTCACATATGTTGTTGTTTTCAATAGCGTGGATTAGCGATTCTCTGATTGGTTAATTCACGAATGTTGTGAGAACTGCACATTTCATCAGTAATTTTAATCAAGTTAAGCGTCGTTTCACTGTAGTAATTTTATAAAACAATTACCAAATGGCTTTCCCGTGCACGATAGCATGATCCATGCACTTGGGATGTTGCTCGAGTTTCAGAAAGCGTAAAAATACACTCGCCTACGGCTCGTGTATTTTTACGCTTTCCGAAAGTCTCGCGACATCCCGCGTGCATGGATCACGCAATCCTGCACGGAAAACCATTCGGTATTCCTTTAGTGAATGTTTTTTGTGTTAACTGTTGTGTACTGTACTGCACTGCACTGTACTGCAATACTGTACTGTAGGGTAGGCATTCCTGGGGGAATAAGGAATTTAACATATTTTTACAGATACATATCTATCAGATTTGACCATTAAAATGGATCGTCGATCGACCCTTTGGTACGGACATGTGCAACAAACTAAAAATTGATGTATCAAGAAGGTTGACATAACGCAACTTTTCCATGGTCTCTGTTCCATGAAAGAAAATATTCCAAAAAGCAATATTCATAAAAGCATCTGTTATACGTTTAGAGAACAATCAGTTAAAGTATCAACATGGAATGTCTTTTATCTTGGAATTCAAAGATACTTTACAAGTGTATAGCGTTGTTTTCAAACTGAATGCAAAACTTCATCACGTCCAGCCATCGTGTCATCGGAACACAAAAACGAAGAAATCTTTGAAGAGATATCGCCTATTGTCAATAAACGTTTTTGGCTGCAAACTATACTGCGAAAAATGAATATCTGGGAAATGGTATAACTAATTAATACACTAACATTTAAGTACAGATTGACGCGCCAGATTTGCTATGGAAGCTACTATAAATTAAAGTGTTGAAGGTATATCATGACTATATAAATGACTATATATAAAGTGTATATACATGACTATATATAAAGTGTATATACATGACTATATATAAAGTGTATATACATGACTATATATAAAGTGTATATACATGACTATATATAAAGTGTATATACATGACTATATATAAAGTGTATATACATGACTATATATAAAGTGTTGGAGGTATATCACAACTGTTGGAGGTATATCATGACATCTTGGAATCTGTGGCTAGTGGCAAGGAAGTTGATGCCATTTACCTAGATTTATCGAAAGCATTTGATAAAGTACCTCACAATCTGCTCTTGCATGAACTCGAGAATTATGGGATTGGAGGTTCTCTCCTCTCATGGTTCCAAAGTTACTTAACAAATAGACAACAACGACTCGTTCTTCATGGCGTCTGTTCCGACTGGCTTCCGGTTACGTCTGGTGTGCCACAAGGCTCTATACTTGGTCCGTTACATTTCTTGTGTTTTGCAATGACGCTCCAGATTACATTCAGGCTAATTCAACGCTCGCACTCTTTGCCGACGATTCCAAACTATACAGAACTCTTGAACATCCAACCTCTAGCAGCTTACTTCAAGTCGACCTTAACAACGTTCAGAGATGGAGTATTGACATGAAAATGGAGTTCAACCCCAACAAATGCAAGGCAATGCACATCTCGAGAAAGAAGAAATTGGAAAACAAAACACTGTACAATCTCAATGGACATCCGATCGAGAAAGTTATGCACATCAGGGATCTCGGTGTCACCGTATCCAGTGATCTATCGTGGTCTAGGCATATCGAGGTCACTGCATCGAAAGCAAATAAGACCCTTGGCCTCATTAAAAGGATATGTAGGAACATGCGTGACTACGCTACAAGAAGACTCCTGTATTGCACCCTGGTTAGGCCCCAGCTTAACCTGAGTATCAGGCTCTATTTTACAAATAGAGCCTGACACAAAACTTAACCTGATCGCTTTCCGCCCACAGCAAAGTTTATATTTAGTATCCAATCAAAATGTCGCAGGAGAAATTTAAATTTCACACAACGACAACAACAA